TTCATTGCCACCATCACCGCCACCACCATCACAACCATCGCCACCATCACCGCGACCAGCACAATCATCACCACCATCATCAACACCACCACCACCACCACCACCACCTCCACCATCATCATCATCATCACCACCACCACGATCTCCACCTGATCACCACCATCACCTCTCTCTGGAGCCCAATGCGTCTAGATCTCTAGACCTTCTGCTTCTAGACCTTAGACCTTTAGACGCACTGTCTGTTTGGGGTCTCTTGCTGGGATATGTTTTCCTTTATGTAGCTATATAAGTTATATATATATATATACCTGAGCAAATCATTCTTTCTTGCTACTTACCTCCAACATTGTTATTCATTGTTGTTTTTCTCATTGTATGTACTCTGCGCCAATGTGTTGTTCTCCTTCCATCTTTCAATTCTGTTTTGTACGCTCTTGCTGTCCATCTTCAACACACTGATGGTTGTTCTGTTTGTCTGTACCTGGCACTTGTTGTTTACTTCCAGTGTTCAACTCCGGTGGTAAACGCTAATGTTACTAATGACTGCTCTCCTTGCATGAACTACTTCATGTGTTGCTTCCATGTTTCAACTCTGTCTTCTACATGCTGGTGGTCGCTGTTCTTGTATGGACGTTGTCCCGCCTCTTGTTGCTTCGGTTGCACCCTTTTTTTACTTGCGTGGTCCGGCGTGTACAACCGACCCCTCGTCCAAAGGATTCGGTGCACAAACTGATGAACCGTCCGAGTCCTTGCCTATGTAGAAGCCGACCTGACCGGGCCAGGTCCAACAATGACAGCTTCATTGCTGTCTCATAGGTCTCATGGTTTGGCTAATGAGCCCCACCTCACCCTTGGCGATCAGCCAACAGTTTGAAGCACTATCTCCTTGCCGGAAAACAACTGCACCCTTCGGTGCCTGCACCAGGGCCACATCACGACGATGCTCAAGGGTCTCTCTAGCCTCTGCTTTCCAGTTTCTCTTTTTGCTCGCTCTTCTCGCTAGAAATAGCCAGTTTCTGATGGGAGCACCTCTGCTCCAAGTAAAGAAAGACATATTTTGTTCCGCTTAATGCTGCGAGCTCCCGAGCACCTCCAATGAACGTGGCTAAGCGAGGGAGCTCTGATAAGACAGCTGGCTCTAGGTTCTTGAAAAAGTTGCTTCTTTGCCTCAGCACTTGAAAGGTTAAGTAAGTTACAAATGTTTTAGCTTATGAGACAACAGGGCAATACCATAGGCCATTGGCAACAATGCCAGAGCACGCTCTTGCTCTTCTGTCGGTGCCTCAAATCGAAACGGCTACGATGAGTTTGTCAAGGTCAGGATCAATACAAATGCAAATCAACACGGGTCAACACGTCTGACACCAGTTTTGTTTAGACATGTTTTGACTATGTGTGCACCTCGTCAGTAGGAGGAACTTGGTCCTGAACAATGGAAAGAAAGGGAAGCTGAGCAGTGTGCTTTCCCAAATGCACTCCTCTTCCACCGCAGGCTTTTTCTCCAGGGAACTGCGCCTTGGTCCTTCCAATCAGACCAACAGGACGACGGGAAGGTCAGCTGACGTTGGTACTCTGGTTGTGCCTTCGCGTATGCAATGTTCTCGTCCTGCAGGTCACAAACAAAACTGATAAATCGTATGTCTTCCTGCAAAGTCTTCATGGAAAAAGCATGAGGCCATCGCTATCAGGTTGGAGGCCACGGATATTAGGTAGGCGGGCAGAGCGGCCGTTAACAGTATACGGTAGTAGTAGCTGCTTGCTACTAGTAGTAAGGCCAGGAGCTACTAGTAGCGTCCTTGCTCCTAGTAGCGATGCTCCCTTTCTTCGCTCTCCCTCGCTCTCCTGCGTTTCTACTCGTAGGGCTGGTGGTGTGGCCCACGGAAGCTCTGCCGCCTGGATCCTTTGTCCACGCCTCAGTTCTGGCTTCGCTTGTCATGACTTTCCACTCGTGAATCGCAATCAAAACGGGGTGGGCGGTGGAGGCATGAGGCATACTGCGGCATACTCCTCAAAAGTTGCGAAAGCTTCGTTAGTTAGGATTGTACGCTTGTTGATCAGGACAAGGGCTCGTTCCAATATATTCCAATCAAACCACTTGAAGTAGGATGACCGGGTCCGGTGCAAGCTTCAGAGATTCGTTGGATGCAATCTGCTGTCTGGACAACCTGGTGAATCCACGTCGGTACACTTCAAATAATTTGAAGCTGCATTGCTGCCGCCATGCTGAGGCAAGAAGCCCTGTCTGACTTTGACTGTTTTTTGACCTCCGAACCTTGCAAGAAAGGTGCAATGCCGTGCAATGGATTGTTGTGGTCTTGCCTTTCTCGTGAACTCAAAAGAACAAAGCTTCAAGCCCATTGCCTTCGATTGCAACGTGCCAAAAGACCGACTTCCTCCTGGGTCTTCTCAAATATCAGCAAAAGTGCAAAGGGATGCAAAGGGCAAATGCCGCTCACTTGCATCTCTCGAGCACGTCCTTCTCGAGTCCTTTAGCCCAAAGCGACTGCATGTAATTGCAACAAGTAGAAATTGTGAAGGGAATCTCATCGTAGAATTTTAGCTTTGATCGAATCCTTGAAAACAAATGAACATGTCTGTCCTTGCGAGAGGGTCACTATGCAAAATATCAGCCTTGGGCTAGCTAGCAGGGCACTATTGGCCCAACATTTTGCGCACATTGGATTGACTTGGCTCTACTGTTAGTCACAATGTGCAGGCCTCGGAGGATGGCCGCAATGGCTCCAGCACCCGGTCTTGGCGGAGGATGGTAAAACTATGAAACAGTACTCCTGGATCACGTATCTCGAACTGTTTGCACAAACATCTAGGAGGAGAGCTGCGCCGCTTGAAGCAGTCCTGTAACCCAAGAATTCAAAAACAATCCCGCGCTTACAATAAGATGGGAGCTCAGTCGCAAAAAGGTGAAGCAGAATATGTTAAAAGGTGGTGTTCCTGCGGCGTTGTGGCCCTTTGTGGGGCACTCTCTTGAAGCTCAGCTAGCCTGGCCAGCGCAGAGCTGTGGCTGAAGGGGCTTGATCTCGAAATGCATATAGATGTTTTGATCATTATAGTTTATACGTATTCATCGGTCAGTCTGAATATGTATGATATCAATGACATCTGTATGTGGAATTATATGGATCAATCATGCTCTCGCAATATAGTGCACAATGCTACTGTTTGCATAGTTGCAAAGTTGGGCTGACTCAACTTAATCCACCATCGTCCAGAATGTCCAGCCATGTAAGACGTGTACATCGTACGACGAGTACGAGCCAAACGTGGACTGTTCAAGACTAAAACTCCATAACAAACCAGTCATGAACATATCTATTACTATATGCAGTAGAACAATCTTACCAACATATGATGCTTGTCAACCAATGTGTTGCTGGATCAGACTGACTGTCTGCATTCCTTGGTCTCATGAGCAATGCTTCACTTGTCGCGTGCCTGCACTGGTAGTAGACCTGGAAGGTGTCCTTTGTGAGGTCATGTCAAAAAGTTGAACACTTTGAGTGTCACAAGAAACCGTCATCACTACAGTACATCACAAGAAACCTGTTGGTTCAGTGGCAAGCTTCCAATGTTCCAGACTTTCTCATTGCTCGTAAACCAAAACATTGCAATCAAGACAATCCGATCAGGCAGGTCTGCAGCAGGTTTTGTTGGGCTGCTTGCTAGAAAACTTGCAACACTTATCGTGGACAGAATCAAGTTACTCTTGCAACGTATGAAACCTTGATCCTTCCAGGCGGGTCACAGTGCATTTCACATGTATCTATGCAGAATGCCTTTCTATCGGGAGATCAAAGGAGTCGAAAGTAAAGCAGCAAAAATGCACCTTGGCAAACAATTCTGTTTTGCTGAAAAGTGAGGGAATCGCAGAACCCCTCTAGAAGGTTTATGTTCCTTCTAAATCGCCGCAGCTGGCTGCTTTGGCCGTATTGTTCTTGAGACTGACTTGATCACGCTCAACTGGACTAGAATAACATCCGCTACCTTGATCTGTCATCAAAGCTACCTTGAAAGATCTTGTGCAACTTCTCTCTGGACAAATTTGGTTCACAATTCTCTTTAAACTGGCCAGGAGCTCAACACAGGATGGGGCTTTGCCCGCAACTTCAATGCACAAACGAATCCTATACACACCACGCCAGTGGCTCTGCGGACTATGAGGAATTCTCTGTTGCATGCTGGAGAAGATCCATTCTGACCGCCTAGAAAACAAAGTGAGCTGCCACTATCAGATTGTGACAAACAGGCTTGTCTTCTCCTAGCAAGCATGCTTGTTGATCAGTGGATACAATCGTCGTGATAAGTGGATACAATCGGCAGAACGTTGAACGTGGCCATTTGGCGAATCAGTACATATCCGGATACGGCAACTAAAGCAAGGTTGACTGTTGCAAGAGCAATTGATTGTTCCATCATTCCGTGGATGTGAAATGGCCATTGCAGTCACTGCCGTCCAACAAAGGAAAACTTGTCGCAGGAGGCAAAAGCTGCTGGGAGATCACAACTGCATCCAGCAACAGATGCCACTTTACACGATGTCTCCTGGTGCGAAGTGCGGAATTGCACGTGGGCGGGCCATACAATTCTCAGTATTGATTATATAATTTGTAGGCGTCCTCCTACTAAATACGGCCCACGGAGTTCCGTTCACTTCACGAATTCTGTAGAATACATACAGATTAGAATGCTGACGAAAGGCAAAAAGTGCCATGCTGTAGTTTTTCACACATACTTACATTAGGAGCTGCAGTATTGCCGCTCCAATTCAGCATTCTCTGCATGGCAAGAGGCCGTTGGCCATGCAAATATGATATTTGGGCATCCGTCGTCAGTGAACACTTGCAGTTCGGGTTTCACCTGGCAAGCGACTTGCATCACCGCCCTCTTCCCTACAGGGACACAGCTCATTGCCAAGCAGGTATCCTACTGAGTGAGCACTGTCAAAATAAGATTCCATCACACAAGGCTCACAAACTCTCTTTTTAGCTCGCACCCTTGCTTGCAAACATTGCGATGTGTTTCAAGAGTGTAGGGTAGTTGAACAGGTCGTTGTGCCCAAAGCCTGTCAGGAAGCAATACAACGAGTGGAGCACCCCCATTTCAATCCATTTCAGATGGCATGAGATGTGTATATAATATATATTATTATGCTCTTGATGAGATGTCTCTTCTTTTGAAGACATCCGCCTTTCGCAGCGATGAGCATACTTCCTGGAATCGCGTCTGATAATTCTTGCCCCATGTCAAAGGGAATAATCTCGTCTTCGTCACCATGGATGACCAAGGTTTGGATCTTCACATCCTTTGCTTTGGCCAGGTTGTCAAACTTATCAAGGAGCAAGAAAGGGCATAGCTTTAGGGCAGGAGCAAAGATTGGATAAATCCTCTGCGACAATCTCGGCAAGCTCGTAAATGGACTCAGCAAAACCAGCTTCCGGCCAAACCCGCGTTTCGCCATCTCGACTGCGGCTCCACAGCCAATTGATTGCCCAACAAGCACCACTGATGCTTTGTCCACACTAAGCTTCTCTTCCAAGTGATTTAACATTGCTTCAGCTGAAGTGTAGATAGATTCTTCAGTTGGAGAACCAGGGCGGGCCAAGCCATAGCCCGGATATTCAATTCCTCGGTGCATAATTGGTTCAGCAAAAATTGCTTTCTCTAATACTGTCTCTGGATATGACTTGGTTTATAATGATACACAATACATCAAGTATATAACTAATCTTAGCTTAGCAGCTTGCGCCGAGTATCCATAGAAGCCATACCCTGCCTGTGAAAATTGACTCCCAAGGTCTGCAGGACCCCAGCCCAACTGGTCAGCATTGCCGTGGAAGAACCTCGGGAAAAAGATCTTCACGTGCCGACAAAAGGATCTTTTTTAGAGGGGAGCAACTATGTGTGTGTATATATATACACATACACGCCATATATATGATATAACATTGTATAGTATATTAGTCAGTAGTGGAAAACTGTTCCTACCTATCCTGTCAACTCTGCTCCTTTTCATGACAAGCTCTTTTTGCTCAAGCAATACACGAGGAAATAAATAAGACAAAGGGAAGGCGAACCTACGGACTGTGTTTGCTTTTGGAGGGATGTGTTGATCATGCTATCCTGAGGGTGAGGCCTGTTTGCCACAACGACGTTAGCCACAACCACAGCACAACTTTCCACTAGCGTGAGGTGACAAGTACATGAGACATTGTGATCATGAGCTCCACTGCCCCAATCAATGATCCCAAGTCAAACTCATTGTTTTGTCCTGTGCCGTTGCGAAATAAAGGCAACGTGGGCAAAGGATGCCTTGCTTTATTTTTTGAGCCCGTCTTCTCGACAGATCAATCACTTCGCTTTTAATGCTCAGAATCCTCAGCACGCGCAACATATTGTCAAGTAGCACTATGGTGGGCTTTGAGCCCTGCGGCCGAAAGAACATAGCGGCTGAGGTCGTTCCGGAGTCTCCAGCTATTTGAATCACCTCACCACCGTATACCCGCGGATCGGCAACCTGTCCACTGGGTAGGTAGATCAACTTTCTCTGCAGCAGAAACACTGCAAGAAGCAAAATACCATAAGCTTTGGCTGCGAAGGCCACGAAGCCGCTTGAGACATCAACCGCCTGTTGTGTCAGTTGTGCTATTGAGCTGACGGAAACAGACCGTGCGCGAGGACGAGTAAGTGAGAAAACCGGAGATCCGAACTTTGTCGATTTCCAGCTCAGCGGTCGCAAGTGGGGGTGGGATAGGTGGGAGAGGTGGGACTTGGCCGTCCATGTGATAAAGCTCCTCGAAACGCCAATGCACCCTCCAATGCAGACTGCAGACATACACCTCTCCAGTTTTGGGCGCATTAAGCCCCTGTGTCTCATCATTAACGCTTTGGCCAGCAGCCTTGCTGAGGGCATCTACAGACTTGAGAAGAGACACTGCACTTCAAGATCAAACAACTAGGCAAGATAGGCAAAGGCATATGGCCGCAACCACCTTTTTTCTTGTCTTCCGCTGCAAATCACTGTTGATCTCTGAACAAAACTCCTGAGAGGATTTACAGCCCGTTCTGGACGGAGGCTTAATTGTCCCTGGTGCAGTTTTCTGACAGTACCGCAGCACTCTCCAGTATCTAGTATCTGCGGCAACCCAGTAGCACTTGCACTTCAGCGAAAGCTCTGAGATAAGCTGATTGCAGCTCTCATGGCACAGCATAATTACATCTGCTTGGCTCTGCTTGGCAAGTCAAGCTTTGTGCAGCCTATGCACCTCTCACTCCCCAGAATCCAGGCTGAAGTCAAACCTCAAAAACACAAAGAAATAGCTTTCTGGAAACCAGGCCTCATAGCTGGCTATGTTTAGGGTGCGGACTTCTTTTTCCGTCTAAGCTCCTCTTCTTCTGGATCGTCCTACGCTGTAATGAAAGTGCTGTAGACCCATCAAATTCAAACTCCAAAAATGTTTGTCCTTGGTGCAGCAAAACAGCATAACTATGGCAATCAGCGGGGACAGCGCCAGCATGATTTTCACCTCGGTGCTTTCATCAGAAAGCTGAGTTGAATGTACCGTTGAACCGGCTTTGTTTTGCTGCCCCCAATTCCCTTTTGTTCAAATATACATATATATATATATGTATGATAGAGAGCCCATTTGCAAACACACTTGATGATAACCCAAGAGTTGCTTGTAGACCTGGTAGCCATTTTGGCTCAATTCTTGCTCAAAACACCAGGGATTAATGTTGCCCCAAAACCGGAAGCTGCACGCTACACAGCACAGTCTCTTGCGCACAGTCGATTTTTACTTCTAACTTCTAACAAGAGTTCACTGAGTGCGCAATTGCAATGCTACAGTATAGGAAGCTGGTATTGTACACCAAGCAATTGGATGCAATTAGCATACACTGGACACTCAAGAGGTACAGCTCTCAGGTTCAGACCCCCCGCCATATAACTTCTAAAGCAGCTGCTGTGGGATCGGACCAGTCCACATCAAAGAAGCCCTTCCTAGCATCCCAAAATTGGAATACAACAACGGAATACAATGACCATTTTGGCGACTATGTCACGGTTTGATTGATAAGAGGTCAAACGTCGATTCTACATCATGACTCGTCATGACGACGTTGGAAGCATGAGCTTATGGCCCTTCTGTAGAGGCAGCTTGGGCGAGGAGGCAAAATGTGGCGATTTGGACCTTGAGGCAGCGGCTAAGATGATGAAAAGCCATCAGCCCACCTAAACACAAACCTAGTTAATTACCAAAGTCCAAATGCAAAGACCAAAAGTCCAAGAGCCCGAAAATGACTGAGGACGTCACAAGCAAAAGCAGCGCTCGCCTCGCACCGATCATCCTTAGTCATTAGCGTGCATGCCCCTTGAGTGGGCTTGATCGAGGGCTGGTGAGGATGCTACTGCGCGAGGACCACACACACACGGCGCGGGCTGCTTCTATATTTGCTAGAGCCAAATTTCACAGTTGCTTAATTAGATGGTCTTGAAGCTCATGCTTTGTTGCTCCGGCTTCAATAGAATTGCCCTGTACTTTAATCACAGGGGGAAATTAGAACCAAGCAAATGACTGACCTGGCTGCCGCTCGCAGAGATGATTGCTTCGCTCCCACCGTCCTTCCAAAGTGTATAGACCATGTCCGCAGAGACATGCTTTCACAGTTTTCACTGCACCATTTCCCAACCAAACAAACATGTCCTCTAATTGGACTGAAGGAGAATGCTCTGCTCCGTGGCGGCTGCATGGCATTCCCTTCAAGAAGCATGTCTGGTAACATCGGTTCGCTTGGTGTTCTTGCTCCTAGTCCTAGTAGCGATGCCCTTTGCTCCTAGTAGCGTCCTTGCTCCTAGTAGTAAGGCCAGGAGCGTCCTTGTTCCTAGTAGTAAGGCCAGGAGCCCCTAGTAGTGTCATGCAACTTCTCTCTCCATACTGACGCAATCCTACGCATGGCCTTGCTCAACTGCACGACTTGCCTGTTTTGCAGGCCAAGGGGTTGATGACGACCGAACAAAGCAAAACCATAATCCAAAAAGCGTCATAATACTATATAATATTCTATAATACTGACACACAATACAAACAATGCAGCCAATTCCGCCTCGATGCTTGCATCTTGATAGCCTGCAACAAAAGTTAAATTTACCACAATGAACTCGTAGCAGCTTGCCATCTTCTTGAATTGGCGGTGTATGGTGCTACTTGCCGCATTGCCTCGTGGCCAACAATTTGGTAAATCTCCTTTCAGCAGTATGGCGTCTCGCCTGCTCAGCCACGCAGTCTGCTGTCTCCAAAATGCTGATCCGTCCCAATCCTCCCGATCATCCCTGATTCCTAAAGATGAGGCCTTGCACGCACCGGGCCACCCTTCCTCATTGCATCGAGGGCTTCTGCTGGTGACTTCTTGCCCGAGGCCGGCCACACAGCTGGTGGAAAGCCTCTGACATCATGCCAGTGTCCAAAAAAGTCTTTTTGGAGGATCTTCACTGGGCTTCAACAATGGACACCGTTGAAACATCCAGAAACGATGACATAATGTACGCAAACACTCTTGACATCCTTTTGCGTTCTCTCACCCCTGGCCCTGCCTTCACGGCACCTGCCTGGGCCAGGAGACCAGCAACGAACTCCCTGGCCAGGGTATGGATGCACAAATACACACAAGGACGCTACTAGGGGCTCCTGGCATCGCTACTAGGAGCAAGGATGCTACTAGGGGCTCCTGGCATCGCTGCTAGGAGCAAGGATGCTACTAGGGGCTCCTGGCATCGCTACTAGGAGCAAGGACGCTACTAGGGGACCAACTAGGGGAAAAGGATGCTACTGGATGTCAAAACCGAGTCAGGACCCCCCCGGCTGCCTGTCGATCCTGTCGCAAGATTCGAGGGGTACGTGGGCTTTTTGGCCAAGGCGACCTTCCAATGTGGCAGAGTATGTTTTACACCGGTGAAAACTAACATTTTGGCACATAAAAGAAATTGGGGCATATGTTAGTCTAGTTTCCGAGCGGACACCGTTGAGACTAACCTAGACCAAATTCAGATGTGCCATGGTGGGCCCTACGGGTACTTGGCATGGTCCATGTTAGCCTCCCCCGGGCTATGTTGACCTCTACCGGCGCGGTCTATGTTAGCCTGCGTGCAGTTTATAGTCAGAGTGCAGTTGGTCCATGTTAGTGTCAAAATCGATCATAGACTGAGAGTAGGAACGGTCCATGTTAGCCACACGCCTGACTCAGGTTTGTGGAAAGTTTGTGTCAGTGTGGACCAGGGACTGAGAGTGGAAGTGGTCTATGTTAGCCACATGCCTCACTCGATATCTGGAAAACTTAGTGTCAGGTTGGACCGTGGACTGAGAGTAGCGAGAGTGGGAATGGTCCATGTTAGCTTTTGGGTGGGCCCATATCTTCTCGCTTCCACGCTGCTCCACACTGTCCTGTTTTTCTTTGCCGCTCTTCTATGTTAGGGCTTGCTGGCTGCTGATGCTCGAAATCCCAGTAACCTATATGTCCTAGGAATGCGCCGTTTCCAGTGTGCCATGTTGGCCTCCACCGTGCTAAAAGAGCTGTCTAGTTTTGCACCTGCAGTACCTCGGTTGAGACTAACGTAGACCATGTTCAGGAGGCCCCTACAGGTATGTGACATGGTCCATGTTAGCCTCCGCCGGGCCATGTTGATCTCTACCGGCGCGGTCTATGTTAGCCTGCGTTCGGTTTATAGTCAGAGTGCAGTTGGTCCATGTTAGTGTCAAAATCGATCATAGACTGAGAGTGGGAACGGTCCATGTTAGTGAGGGTCCAGAAATTGCCAAAAAAGGCGCTAATACCGTTTCCCCAGGAAGTCACCGTTTCCAGTGGTCCATGTTAAAGCGCACTTGAAATTGAGTTACGGTCTATGTTGTTTTTCCCCGGAGTAGTCTAAAGGTGTCCAAAGTCTAAACATGTCTAAAACCCATTAAAACCTGTCGTGAGCAATCGGACGTGACACTGCTCCACAGTAAAAATATTGGAGTGCCATGATCCTGGAAGTAATTTGTTATTGCAATCCATTGAGCAAGATCTGTTTTGTCTTGTCACGAGACCAAAGCATATCCTTCTGACTTCGAGCAAGGCATCATTTATTGCCATTGGAGCTGCAGCTTGAGACATCAAGATAGAAGAGCTTCACCAAAACCTCATCGATGCAAATTCCACTTGTCTCAGCTTGTCTGGGAGTTGACTCTCCAGGTCGTGGAAGCTCCAGGACCACCACTCGAGAAAGCAGTGCGGCAAGGGAATTGAAGATCTCATGGATTCTCCGCACGCTAATCAAGGACTGCGCCAGTCGCCGCCTCCTGCAAAAAAGAGAGAGAGAGAGCGTTAAAGAGAACATATTTTCTTGCTTGGCGAAGAAACCTTTCATACACTTCGAAATGATTCTGGCACGAACCTTGTCAGCAGGAGGACTTCCTTGGACCACGACGGTGGTGTAGTACATGAAAAATAGGCACAAAGAGTCAAGAGGTCATCATGTCGTAGAGTAAGGAATATGCAAACTTTGCATAGGAACACACATAGCAAAATATGGGAACACGTATGCCAGAAAGGCAAAAAAACATCCAAAAACACATTCGGCCAGGCTCCATCCAAGTCTCGAGGAGCTGTCAGCAGGAAAGGTGGTGAGAGCTGGTCACCAACCAGGGTGTGCAAAGAAAGGTTCAGATTTCCTGGTCCGCTTGACCAAAGTGGTGCAAGCGCACAACATCCAAGCGCCAATCATGGGAAGTCATTGCTTGATGACAGGAAGACTATCAGACTGGCCTGTCATCTCCAGCCACTTCCAGGCATAGCGCTTCCCAAGTTCTTCTGCTGATGAACGACAGAAGTGTAAACGGTCGCCCTAGGCATGGCAATTTGACTTCGTAATAAGCTCAATTACTGTCACCATGCCAACCCCACAACAAAAAGAAAACAATTGAAAAATAGAAACTAGAAAAAAACATGTCACACAAGACTCAAAAAACAAGAAATGTGTTAAGCACATGGAATAAAAAAGGCAATGATAGCAGCTATGGCAGACAACACAACATGACAGCGTGATACCCGCACCTTGTGCTGAAGGCCTCTCGCACTAACACAACCAATGCTTGTACCCCCAGAGGTCCCAAACTCTACGATCGATGTATTCACAGCATCCTCAGAGACCGCTCCAGCTCTGACGCGTGGGCTCTTGGTGTAGAAAACAGCAAGCTGCGCATGTATGTCGCTGTTAGTCATCTAGCCAGTCCAGTCTAGCCACACAAAAAGGTAACAGGTGCATTTTAGACTCTAGACCATCCTTTTCTGCATTAGATTCTTGTTGAACCACAGCTGTAAGAATGCATGCTGTAAACGAAGCAACAGACTTCAGGATTTATGTGACTTTCCTTTGCATTGCCAGTGTCTGCAAAAGAAAATCTCGAATCCTCCAAATCCAGAAATTCCATGCCAAGCTCTCCAAGAATCATGGGGACCTACGTTGGACGGTCAAACTCAGGAACACCAATTGCTTCAGCGAAGCAAACTCACACAACATATCACAAAATCGTAACACCATACTACACCCACTGATGTGGACAAATGTGTACATTATTTGCCAAGCAAAGACAAGGCACGCCACCACAAGCTGTCTGCAAATCTTGTTTGAGCTGGTGCAAACGAGAAGGGTACAATGATGCCATCTCCTCACCTCATGTCAAGGATATGGTCTTGTGAAACTGCAACGAAAGACAGTGAACATGATGGAACACAAAACAGCCAAGTCTAACCAAGTCTGCCACTTCCACAGTCTGATTCTCCTTGATGCCACAGAATTCCCTTCAAAACTCCTCCGGCTGCTTCCCCTTCTTGCAAACGCCCTTTTGCACTCTGAAGCAAGTCCCCATCTGCCTTCAGAATTTGGTTTTCGTGCAGTTGTCGGGTGGTGCAGTTTCAAAGGAACTAGAGCTACAGCAGTCACACCAAGATCATTCTTGCATTGTAGATAGATAACCAACACCAAGATGCGATCCAGCGTTGGATTTCGCTCCCACCAAATGCGCAAGGGACCAAGCCAATGGGTGCTGAACAGAAATCCTGATAGTAAAGCTTACAAAGCTTGCTGACAAAACCCAGAGCTGTGAGCTTAGGATCATTTACAGTCTTACACAGCTTGTAATTTGCAATATCTTGTATATAATATGATGTGCTACGACAAACTGAGATCGCGACAACAACTGCTCTGGCGAATGCCAAACCGGGTCCAACTCCAGCTTTCTCAGGCTTGTCATCATGCAGAGGATCCCTTGCTGTCTTCCACTTGCCGTCTCTGGAGAGTGCCAGAATTCGAGGCTCTTCTGAGCACTCTTCAGAGATTTGGGCACGGCCAGCCATATTGCTTTGTCCAGCCAAAAGGAACATGCATACTGCTCCAGGAGGGGGTTCTTTGCCACTTTCCATGGAACAAACGCTTGCGCAGGTTGTCCCCATGGCACAAACACTTGCGCCGGTTGGTCTGCAGCTGGAATTTAAGCCACGACAATAAAATGAGATGAGCAAATTCTTGCTCTGCCGAGGGACTATGCTGCATATGCTACTTGTGTGCTGTTGCCAAGAGAAACTGAGGCTAGAACACATCCCTGACCGCAAAGTCCACCCCTGGAGCACAGCGAGTGCAACACGACCATTCAGAGACTCTTCCAACAGCGTGCAGTGAGCCGGGCTCGTCACCTGGATAGCCACCCGGTGTTCCACATACCTGAGGAGCAATGCAATAAAAAACATAATAAAACCAGTGAGAGAAGCTACTAAAAGCTATCAAAGAATCAAAGGTATTACAGTATATAGGTTGGAGGCCATCCCTCCTAAAATCAGAAAACTCAGAATCAAAGGCTCCAGGGCACCAGTGCAGGAGCCCTGTTGGACACCGCCTGCATAAAGGCAAGTCTCAAGGGACACGCCAACTATTTGACTATATAACTAATGATGACTAGTTAAATGCTAAATCGAACAATTAAAACATAACTCCATCTGACGACCCAGTGCTGGTCTTGTGCTCCTGTAGCGGGTTCTCCAGGGCACCAGCTGCTCGCGAGGCCATTTCTTGTGCGGTCAAACTTCAAACTCACAGGGTCAACATAGCGGTTTGACGCACAGCGCCCGCCCTCAGCCGTGTCTATTTATTCCTGCATAATGTCCAAATTGTGTTCTTTAGGTTCTTCCTCTTCCTGACCAGTCTCTTTTGCCGCGGGTGCTCGTCACCGAGCCACTTGAAGGCGGGTAGGCAGTGTCAAGTAGAAACTTGAAATCTGACTAAACAAAAAAACTGTATGCATGCATGCTACAGTTACTCTAGTTGTCCTAGCTATCCATAGCTATCCTCTGAGCTTAACTTTGATTTCATTCTTTGGAACAAAGGGATACAATCTTGGATCCGCAATGCTCTTGGTTTACAGCCCATCACGAAGCTAACAGCCACAGCAACATTTTTCTGCTACATCCGCTTGACTCACTTACTGGCACATGACTTTCCTCAGCACCTTGGCGGCGCGGCATGAGCACAAAGCTCTTGCTCTGCTCATCTGTCAGTGCGCTTGATTGTCCGAAGTCAAGATGGCTCCGCTTATGCCTTTACTTCAACACTAGCCTTTGACCATTGCCTTTGACCCGCACGGTAGGCGATCAACATCTCTTCATGCGACCTCACCCGGAATAGACGAAAACGGAGTTCGTTCGAGTAGCCTACGGTGGGATTTGCTGTTGAAGGCCCTGATTGCCTGCCGTTGTGCTTCATCCATGATGACTTCCTCTTCATCTTCTGCAAGCGCAGCGTTGATATGCGCCTAAGCGACTGATAGCAAATTCGCAGATATGATTTCAGTTCGCCCTACATCTCTTGGGAATGCACGTGAAGACACATGTGCCCAAACTACCCCTTCACAGCTTTTCTGTGGTGATGGGCGTGGCCTCGTCAAGGGCATCCAGAACAGAACACTCCACGCTCTCCGAATTGTCAACTAGCGGACCTTGGACAGGCGAAAACTGCAGCATGGAACAACTCAGAGCTTCACCTCAGAAAGCTTTGCCGACATAATGTTGTTCCAACGCAATACAACATGTCTATCGCTCAGGTGGCTGCCAATGGTAAAGCAAAGAGTCGCATACTGGTATAAGTACCTAAAACATCCTAAAACCATGGCAGCAATCTTTCACAAGCATTCAGAAACCTTGAGTCCGGTTTTGGAGGAGCTGGTAATTGCTTGCAAGGCGCGAGTCCGGCTTACAGCGCCGAGGGTACTGAACGCCTCAAACGAATCGGCCAATCATTTCTGTTATTGTTCTTTGATAATGTGTTTCTAATAGCAATGGCCGTGCCCTAATAGTAGCGATGGCCTCGAACCTACTAGCAATGGCCTCCCGCTAATAGCGATGGCCTCCAACCTACTAACGATGGCCTCCCCTTAATAGCGATGGCCTCCAACCTACTAGCGATGGCCTCCCACTAATGGCGATGGCCTCCAACCTACTAGCGATGGCCCGCCAATAGCAATGGCCTCCAACTTACTAGCGATGGCCTCCCGCTAATGGCGATGGCCTCCAACCTACTAGCGATGGCCTCCCGCCAATAGCAATGGCCTCCAACCTACTA